TTCTTTTTTTTTCTACTTTACTTCCTTTCCTTTCTTAAAATGCCCTATCTACTAAAAAGCAGAAGAAAATTGAGTCTGGAACCCAAGATTCTTTGCTCTTGGTCTCCTCTTTTCCTCAGTTTATTCAGAAGGAGTAAGAAAAGAGCTATATTAAGCTGAAATTTTATTCTGCTGTTCTCTGTTGAACAAAAGATGGTCCACTAAAGCAACTAAATCACAGATAACACTTCTCTGGGCAACATTATTAGGAACTGACAGCTGGAGATAGATGAAGATCTCATCTTTTAAAGAAAAAAGTACATTTAATTTCCTTTGTACATAATATAGAAAGCACAGCATTGTGTATCTGAAGATAAAAAGAGATCCCGCTGTGTGCTGGGTGCCATCCTTACAGAGATATAATACTAGTCTGTGTTCTGAGCTTACATGGAGCTTTAAATTCAAATTCATTTAGAAACAACTATTCTTCAATTCATGGTAGACAGTGAACTTTAAAAAAAGAGGGTGACATTTTACAGCCAGTTCCATTAGAAAAGAGCAGTTCAGAGAATGAATTGTTACCTTTTGAGAGGAACACTGGAAGACAGGACAGAAAGAGGAGGGAGAATGGATCTTAAAGGCGGAGAGATGGGTTTGCCCCTGCTCCTCAAGGGATCCTCTTGGGAGCCTCTAGGCCTCTTGAGGCTGGTACCATAATGGATTTGATATGAACACACACAATGGAGTTGGTTTTGAACATCAAGGATCTCATCAGCTACCTTGAAACAGACACGCTGTGGTCATTTTTTCCACCAGCTGAGGCATATCATGCCAGGCTCCAAATATGCTGGGTGAAAGGGCATGGATTTCTTCTACAGAGGTAGTGACAATGTACAGCACACCCTTATTTCTGGAGGACTTTTTTGATGTGTTTTTGGGTTTTTTTTATTTATTTTTCCTTTCCCAAGGAACCTGTGGCTATAACACATATACTATTCACATTTACAATGTATAAGCATATTTCATATGTCCTTTCTGCAGCACTTCCACCTGCTGCTTTGGTTGCTGTTTGATTTTAACACATCCCAGGCAGCATGGGAACAGTGAGGGTGAAACTTTGTTTGCCTGTGTTAAGCAAGACAGATACACATGCAGTTAAAACACATGTTTAACAAGAAAATATGGTCTGTCTGTTTCCAGTGGTATGAAAGGCTGCTTTTGGCTCTTGGGGAGAGTACAAGTTTTAAGAAAAACATCTGTATGGAGCTTTTGTTTCTAAGTCTAGGGACTATTTGTGTGTTGGCTGGTTGCAAGCCCTTGTAAGAAATGAAGGCCTAACACTAAGCAATTACCTTCCTTCAATTAAAGGCTTCTACTTAGCTAGTCTAAAATAAGAGTGGAAATTTTTTTGTGACCCTTACTCCACTTAAAGATGAAAGGTGGTTTTCCACTGAAAATGCTGGCAATAAGCAGCCCTTCTAACTATAAAAGCTGTAAGGAAAATTCTTTGACCATCTTCATGTAAAAATAGTTATTTTGCTTTCCCAAGACTTCAAATCACACCCTCCTTTATTTAATTTTTTGTTTTTTCAAGTGGACACAGTAGCAAAGGATAATATTAGGCTTTCCCATTTCTTGCAGAAATAAGTACCTCTGGAAAATACAGAATATAAAATGAAACTTGCCCTGGATTCAAGCTGGAAATGCAAACATAGCAAGTCAGAATAAATGCAAGATCATCAAGAAGTACCAGGCTCTGGACAGTTATTTCACATGGCGAAAACTGCTGTTTTGAGTTTCACCTATACACAGGCAACCACAGTGAAACACAAAGTGTCCATGAAAAACATCTAATGAACACTGACTTTCAAATTTCTCTGAACTGCTGCTTCTCTGTGAAGAAATGGATTTCTTCACGTGGTTTTTGGGACAGGTCCCCAGCTGATGATGGGGTAGACTTAAGTTGCTTTTCAGAAGTTTCTGCATTTTATATTCCGATATAAAACTCCCATCACTCATGTCTTATTACACCATAACCTATCTTTTTTGGGTACTGGACCCTTTTTCAAGACCTTGGAAGGTCACTACAAGCAAGATTGCTCTCTGCATGGTGATTCTCTAAGTTTTTAACATCCAACTGCTCCTCCAGATGGATTCAGGAGCTTCAAAATTCACCTGTTGTGCTATTCAATAGTTTTGAAAGCTTTTTTGCACCACAGCAGCTACAGCTGTTATTAAGGCTCTCCTTCATCTGTTACTGAACAGAGATATTGAGCATTTTGGGTCACCCATGCATCAGCACATTCAAAGTGCTGCAGGAGAACCACTCTCAATAAGCAGGATCCACAGGGCAGATCTCACACAGAGGTCTGGGCAGCATTTTGAGCTGCAGACAGCTACCACTGGGAACCATGTAGGCAGATACCCACATATCTGTGGTGCTATGCTGACCTCTCCCTGTCCCTGGAGACAGGTGTCCCAGATTTCTTCCAATTCTGTGTCCTGCTGCTTTTCTTGTTATGGAAGGTCCCAAACCTTGCTACAGTTTCTCTGAGAGATAAACACCTTCTCCTTTACTGTCAGAACAGGGATTTTGAAACTGATTTTTCTGCCCACATACTCACAGACACCTAGCCAGACTTGCTGCTTTTACTTCTAATTTCAGCAACACTAATTAGAAGATCTGGCTTCAATTACCTTTGTAATACTGAACACCTCTCATTAAAGCCTTGTTTTTATTCTCCTCAGACCTGTGTATGCCAGTTACAAAAGAGGATGCAAAAATGTCTATCAGCGTCTCAGACTGACAATTGTACTTAATTACCTCTGACCCCCTCCACTCACAGATGTTTAGTATTATGGTTCAGGAGCTGAAAAAAGTTGTCTTCAGGAGCCTTAGAGATAACTGGAAGTGCTCTGTCTTTCAAAAGGATAGTTCAAATAATCAGCCAAACTGAGGATGAATTCTGAACTAACTGAAGCTTGCCTCTCCTGCTACTGTTATGAACTATAATTCTCCACATTTCTGGAGTGCCTTCTACTCTAGGTTGCATGACAACTTAACAGACTTAATTGGCTCTCAACACGCCTTTCAAAAGTATTACTTCCAATTCAATGGGTAAGAAAAGCACAGCATAAAACATCAAGCCATTGTTCAAGTGCATGGCAATAAAGATGAATTGCTGAAATGGCTCTTCCCATTTTATGAAAAGTACAACTTCTGTACCAGCTATTATTGGTTCGGGGTTTTTTATAAATGTTGACTCATTCATAAATGAGTCAACATTAAAAAAATTATTAAAATAAGTCAGCATTAAAAAACATGGTGGGTTTTTATTTTAGTGGACAATCAATAGATACAGGCTGTCTTCTAAAATGGAAGTTGAAGAGGAGGGCAAGTTGGAAAGTTTTCCAACTGCATATCATCTTTTCTCAGAAATGCTAAGATAAATCCATTACTTTCCAGAGAGGCCACTTCAAAGGTAATTACAAATATGCCCTCAGAAACAACTGGATTTAGATGAAAAGGGAAAGGTGGGGGGACCCCATAACCACCAAACAATCAACTAAGATTGGGTCCTAAATTAGGACTTAAGAAATTGCTCCATATAAGTAATTATTTACAACTACATTCCAAACCTGCTGAAATAAGATGATCGTTCCCAAAACAGTCTTTGCAGAATATCAAATTGCTAAAAATACACAGGATATTTCAGGGAGTGTTCTGTTCATCAAGAAAACTGATAAGCTTAAGGGCTTCATGGAAGAGAAATCTTTGCTTCTTCCCCTGGGGGAAGGGGCTGCTTCTCCTACACATGCTGTTCTTAGAAATCCATGTGTTTATTTCAGGAGCAGCGCTGGTCCATATTGTGAGCCATTGAGCAAGCCTGTGAGCTGAGCACGCCTCTCCATATGCAAAGCAATGGCAGCTTCCCATCTCCTTCAATCAAAGCAGGGACAAGGAAGATGTGCATCCTCTCAAAAATTTGCAGAGTCCACACCAGTGGGGAATGTAAAGATTTCCAGTGGTCCAGCTCTCACTGTAACAGTGAGAGAACACTGTCAAGTGTAGCCAAAAGCTCTGATGTCCTTTGAATGATGAATCTTGCACAGTGGAACTGCACCTGAACTTGAATTTAATAGCTGAAAAAGTGCTTAACAGGTTATGCTGTATGAATTACTCCTTATCTGTCATATTTATATTTTATTTGCATAATGACAAAACAATTAAACCAATTTCCTCCTTGTCTAAGTCTAGAACAGCTTAATGCCTCCGTATTCTAGTTTTTCACTGGTTTCCCTATAGCATTTATTATTTATGAATACTATATAAATATTACTATTATTCCATATTACCTACTCTTATTCCTCTCCTGGGTGGTCTAATTTGTTCATACTTTGATTTAGAGGCAGAGCTATCTATGACATTGAACAGGGAAATACACAAACACACAGCTCCAACTTTATTCCTGATTTCATCCACCACTTTCTGATGGTTTTCATTCTATCAGAAGAAAACATGCATAAAAACATGCCTAAGGTATTTCATGTGATGCTTTATGAATTCCTTTATAACTCCCTAAAAATCAGTGTTAATTCTTCCTCTTGAGTGAAAGACTGGGCATCACCACTAACAGTCTAAAGAAAACGAGGTGCTGAGAGAAGATTCACACAAGGGCAAGGAGGCTACCCTAAAAAAGCGTCCGAAGGGGAATTCAGATTACATTTGACATATCCTGCAGAGGGGAGTAAGGCCACACCTTTTCCAAAGACAGTTCCAAAAGGATTTACATATAGGTGTCACTGAGAGTTTTGAAACGAGAATCTGCTGTTAATGTGTGCTCTACTGCTCCATTCCTCTGATGAGGAGTTTCACAAGTCTGTTAAAACGCCTTAACAAAAGTGTCATTTCATTTGAAAAATTGAGTAAATGCTTCTTCATTGAACTCTCTTGGCAGAAGGGTCCTGAATGTTAGCACAATGTCCTCTAACAGCAAATATTTAGCACACAAAGACAAATATAAGAAGAAAAGCATTTCAGAATAATTGATTGGAACATCAAAATTTCTATGCACATATACAAATATACATGTAATAATACATGTAAGATGAGCTTTGCCACTATGTAGTGATTCAAGAAGATTCTGCTACAATATTTACTCACAGGGAAGCAACACAGCTCTTTGCAAGGGAGAGTTCTTCCAGTTTAAACTGAGAGGTTCCAGTGCAGAGGTCCGGCCTGCATGAAAGTATTGATAAACCAACCACAGAAATTTAACCACAGCTAAACAAATGTTATTTGACCAATTGTCAGCTGACAGTACATGTCTCTATGCAGTCCCTAGAAATGAAACACAAGAGTATTATTTAGCCAAAACTGGACTCATTGTTCTGAACAGCTCATATGCCTGTGGAGTTCCTTCCAAGCTAAGTCATGCAGGGGCTCCCTGAAGCAGCACTTATCTGGTCACACACATCTAGATGACAGCACTCTTGCACTCATTAGGATGACAACTTCTGGTACTGACAAGTGACTTTTGAAATGTTATTCCTTGCTGAAGCAGTTTCAAATGTTAGAGACTCAAAAACAATGGGATATTCTCAGTAGAATAATCAGCTTTTTTTAATTGAAAATTCACATGTACAGCCTCTGGTACTCTACACAAATGGATGCAAACAAAGAGCTTCATATAATACAGTGCCTTTTGGACTGATCTCACAGTTACTTATATATACACCAGCTGAATTGTTCAGTGCAAATGCTCCCATGTCTGTTCCTGACACTGGATTAAAAATTAAGACAGTCCAGCCTGAGACTTTTTTTTTTTCAGAGGTACCAAAGGAGGCTTGCTCAGTCACTCTGTCTTGAGACGGAGAGCCTCCTGCCGTTGTTTCTGAACCGTCCTGGAATCTTCCCATGGTCTGGGTCCTCTGATGTTCTCCCAGTTATCCAAGTTCGATTTTTCCAGCTTCTGCAGAGAAACAGCAAAAATAACAGGGTCACCTTGATGGATCCATGATTTAAAGTACACATGATTCCAAACTGTGGAGTTTCTTTTCATAAGAAACTCAGTATCACCATTGGGCTGATGATCTTTTATCTACCCTGCATGAGAAGTTCAACAAGAAGAAAAAAAAACTAGTAGTTATCCATATAGCTACATAAATGACGAAGACAGGCATTACTGCATCTGCTTGTCAGCAGGTAAGCAACATTTAAGGGCAGGAAGCACTGCAGCATCTGAACAAGACTGAAGATACCTTGTATTCACTTTTTCTCCTCTCACCTTGTTTTCCAGATCTGTGCTTCAATTGCAAGTCTGCCAAGCACTGAAGTAGTAGGAATGACAAGCATTGGTATAGCTCAAACAGAAGGATTAGTAATTAATGAGCTGAAGTATCCTGTCAGCAAAAATACAAAGCATGCTGGAAAAGATTCATTATCTAGCACAAAGAGAGACAGCAATGGCGCAAACCCCTTCAATCCATGAGGTTTTAACTTGAGAGAGGTAGAGGTATGAAATGCTTTCTGCTGACTAGTTTCCTCTGGCACCCAGCCACCACAGACAGACCTCTAAGTCATACATGAGATATGCTAACTGACTGAACTGTCAGGTATTGAAAGACTAGATTTAATTACCTTCTTGCCTGCTTCTATCATCCCCCCTCAGAACTACCAATGGCTTAGAGGCAACAAAAATGAAGAACAGGTGCCCTTCTGACCTCACCTACAATGTCCTGCAGTCAAAGAACACAAACATGTATTGCATCTTCAGTCCTATTGGCAGAGGCACAGCTGTCCCTTCCCAGGACACAGACCTCAAGTCTCACATGCCAACTGTGGACCAGCACATTGGATATGATGGGGAGACTGAGGAGAGGGTCTGCACCACTGCCAGAATCAGCACTGCCCTAGATGCTACTAAACAGGGCAACACTGCATTCCAATAATGAATGATACATACTGCAGTGGGACTTAAACCTGATCTGTGATCAAGGCCTCATCTCAGCAAATGCTGTAAAAATACACCAGAAAATACTTAATCCTGCCCTGAGCCTGTGGCCTAATTTGTCTACTATCAATCATTCAAATAAATGGCAAACACCCAGGGACTTGAATAATAGTTGCAGAAAAATTCAACAGCTGTAACAGAATAGACCTGCTGCTATTAGTTCATGTTATATAAAAGTTTCCTGACACATCTACAATTGAGGAAATTGCAATGAGGTTAGTCAGATATCAAAATAAATTAAGCAACACTCTACAGAAGATATATGAGAACACATGTACAAACATAGCAGACTTTCACAAAGTAGGAGCAACCAAATTTTTTGTACAGTAGAGTTGGGACAGGTCTTTCTGAAGAATTGTCTTTACTACTTTATACATCTTATGCTTAGCTGGTACTTCATTTCAACCAGAAGGGATCTGAGCTGACATGGAAGGAGAGAGAAGGAGGAAAGGTACTCATCATCCCACACAACAGTGACAATCTCCTCTGATTGTAAATTTGGATTTTAACATCTGATTCTAATGGAAGGTTCAAGGGAACTACACTTAAAAGAGTCTTGTGCTTTAACAGAAGGGATGCATGCTGATTTAATTCAACACAAAGGTATCACACACCTGTGAGGATCTCAACTACTCCAAAGTTGTTTGTCTCCCAAAGCTTGAACATTAACCAACTTTTAAAATAAGTGCAACAAAATTGTGGTACCTAAAGACAGGCCACATAAAGAAGTCTATCAAAAGACACATGTGTACTGAAGATCTTTACCAAAATGTTCAGAGTAATTTGTCCCTGAAACTTCACAAAGGCTTTACAGAGAGGAGGTTTGTCAAAAACAGGAAGCATTTCAAAACTATCATATCCAAACAAACCAGTACCAGAAAGTATCTTGGCAGCTTCCAATCGAAATCATAAAGGTACCTTGAAAACACATTGGGATACACTGACAGAATGAAACAACCAAGAGTTACATGCAGTGAATGGCATTGCCTGAGATGACAAACAAGATCTATTGATCAATTAAAATATAAAGAAATAAAGATTCTAATGCATACATAGGAAGACTGTATTTTTTTATTATCATTACATTTTTAGAGATGGTTAACATTTTGTGTCATGTATAAACACTTTGTAATATCTTACTGCAATTCAAGAAGAAAGCACCTTCCTTACTACCATGGGACAGTATCTGCAAAAATTTAGTCTATGGGATAGTTATCAGTCATCAGAAGGCAACATTCCAATTTTCTGAACTGATGCTGTCCAATTTTGGAATAACAGAGCACTCCTATTGCATGTGGATAAGCATAAGGAGGAGTATCACCACTGAAAGGGGATGTGACAATCTGTTCTGCAGTGCTTTCCTACTGAATAGCTATTTTCATGTATATCTGGCTCTGGATAGGGTAGAGTTACATTTTTTTTATAGTAGCAAGTACAGGGATGTTTTGGATTTGTGCTGAAAACAGCATTGGTAATGCAGGGATGTTTTCATTACTGCTGAGCAGCTCACAGAGTGCCGAGGCTCTGCTTCTCACTCCACCCCACCTGCCAGCAAGCTGAGGGTGCACAGGAGGGCACACAGCTGGGGCAGGTGACCACAACTGACCACAGGGATATCCCACAGCATATGGCACCATGCTCAGCATGTAAAGCTGGGGAAAGCAGGAAGAACAGAGGGACAGTCAGAAGGATGGAGTTTGTCTTTCAAAGCAACCTTTAGATGTGATGGAGCCCTGCTCTCCTGGGAATGGCTGAACACCTGCTGCCCATGGGAATTGGTAAATTAATTCATTGTTTTGTTTTGCTTACACCAGCACCTTACGCTTTAGCTATTAAACTATCTTTATCTCAATCTATGAGTTTCCTCACTTTTACCCTTCCAAATCTCTCCCCCACCCCATCATGGGGGAGCGGGTGAGTGTGTGGCTGTGTGGGGTAAGCCAGGACAGTACCTCACATACAGCTGAGTAAAATCCCACCCTTTTTGCTTGGTCACTGACATGAAAATTCTTACAACAGAATCATCCCTGAATAAATAGCTACATTAGATGTAGGCTAAAGACATGCACATTGCTGCATTTTAAATTCATCTTAGTGATGAGAATAAGACCAGATTGATAATCTTCTTAATTAAGTGCAGCACAAGCTGCAGAGTTACACAGCTCCTTCAGATTGCCTGAGCTGTACAGTGAGAATTCAGGCAAGCAGCTAGCTCTGCTCTCAGATGAAGCTGAAGTCAACATCTTTCATTCTATCTAAGAGCCAGATCTTCTTAATTTCTTATTTCTTTTTTTCATCTTAGCCACTTGGACTCTGCCTACCTAACTTTATGAAGACATCACATCACATGTTAAACTACTTCCAGCTTTTACTAAACTGAAATTCATATGAAGTGGAAGGCTAAAAACCAAAAGATTTCTTCTCCCAATTCAAATGTACTAAACACTCCATCATTGGAGACTACAATGAAATGTAATCAGATCAGATCAGCAGCACTTTTACTGCTTGTCTCAAATAGCCCTAAGGATATTGAAAATTAGCTGTTTAAAGGAAGATCAGTATAGTCCATTAAATCTACTGATTCACTCCCTAAATCAGCTAAACTGCCTCTTAAGAGTACAGGACTGACAGAAGCTGTAAATTCAAGGAAAAAAATGCAGTTATTCAGACAGGCACAGTGAAAAAGAAAAATATGTTTTGCGACAAAAGAAAAAAACTGTTTGCCACACTTGATTTTTAAGACTTGTTAAGCAGCTTGACTGCTGCAAAGGTACCAAAAAGACCTTTACTTCTTAATTGCTGCTTCAAATGCCTGGCTTAGGTAGAAGTTATAAGCCTCTGGCAGCCTAAAAATAAAATAAAATTTAAATTTTAGAGTTTTAATTCTACTCTTGCAGGATAGTCTTCATGTCACGATACAGAAACTGAAGTCTGCAGAAATTCATTTAGAGCTATTAGTGTTCAGGCTGAGTGAATTCAAAGTGGCCTTTTGTAAAAAATGTTTGGCTTTAGTCTCGGTTCCTTACATATGAAAGGAGGGATAAGAGAATCCTGTTTACTTTACACTTTGATGAAATAAATTCTGTGATGAAAACCACAGAAAGAAATAGCTCTGATAGAGTGAGATAATTATTTCCCATCATTATAGTTTCCAGAGAAAAGATGTACCAGAGAAAAATATCCTCGTGGCTGTAAGAGGCAGTGAAAGAATTAAACCAATTGAACAGTTTGTTTATTAAAAGTGTCAAAAAACCTTGAAGAGACAAAAGGTATATTGAGGAGCTCTATAATGATATATATATATGAAGAGGTAAAAATTACAGCTAACACTGAATCTGCTGCCTTGTGCATGACTTAAAATCTTAACTTCATCATCACACTGATAGAGCTTAGTGGGGTTTTTTTATAACTCTTTTCCAGAGCCATCTTTTTGACATCTCATTTTCTTAATATAACTGGGTGTTACTTAGTTTGCCTAGGAAGTGACATAATTTAATATCTGCAATTAGTGATTTAATAATCTGGGATTTAATAGCCCATGATTAGTGAATGAATCCTCAGCTTAAAAAGAAGGGATTTTTTTCCAATTAGAGAATGTTTAGTTTTTATGATATTAGTAAACAAGCAAGTTAGTAAGCAGAAAACTATGGCCAGAATAAGATTGTTTTTTGTTCATTAAGGGAAGAACTGGGGAAGGGGGGAGGTGAGGGAGGACGGGCATGTAAGCATCCAGAGAGCTGCTTCTCCTTTTGGCTTCGCTGAAGACTGGCAAAAACCAATAGAGGCTTTGTTGCTTAATTCAGTGGGATCCAATAGCATTCATCTATGGCACAATTAATTAGTCTATGGTGAACTGGTTTAAGAGACTCTTTCCCCATGTGTTATTTTCTCTTTAATTATGCCAATTCAACAATGTGGGGGTGTGCTCCAACCAGAAAAAAATAAATAGTTTAGGAAAA